TGGCGCGCACACGCGCCGAGAACATGGCGCTCCAAAGTGCAAAGCTGCGCTCGGCCGACTACGTGCAGGTTTGTTTGTACGACGGGGGCCGCTGGAGAGAAGCGCAGCACAAGCACTGGCCTGGAAAGGCGGCAACCAAGGGGCTCCTTGGCCTATGTGCCAAACATGAAATGTTTGGGCCATGGGTGGAAGAACAAATCCATCTCTATGGCTCCCCCGAGGTTTTGGCCAAGGTCTTCCTCCACCGCCTCCAGGACTTCCCGCACCACTTCGAGGGTTTAAAGGACTCGGGGTTCTTAACCTACCTCCCTTTGTGCTACAGGGTTGGTATGGTCATTCCCCTGAGCAACCCTTGGAGCAATCCGGATGATACAACCTGGCAGCTCGTTCCGATCCCAAGTTTGGACACCCCAACAAGTTGAGAAACCCCTTGAAGGGTCTTAAGGTGAGGTGACTCCCTTAAGCTTGCAAGCCGCTCCAGGGTGAGGAGACTCCCCTTTCCAGCTTTAATTCAACGAGCCAATTTGGTCACAAGCCTAAGTCTGCTCAAGGTGAGGTTACTCCCTTGCTCTACAAGCCAACAACGTGAGGAGACTCCGTGGACTTGGAGAAGCTACAAGGTTGAGATACCTCCCTTGCACCCTTTTGTTGCCGCCTAGCTCAAAGTGAGGAGACTCCTTGGAAGGTAGGCTGAGGGCAACCGCAGTAGGCAGGTGAGCTCGACCAGTCTGTGCCGAGGGTGCTGTTTAAGGACATCACCTGATGTCAGACTGGTCTAGAGAAACTCGCCGCTCCCAAAGTGGACTAGGCTCAGAACTCAGGGTGAGGTGACTCCCCTCAAACTTCGTCTCACCCTGACTCGAACTGGGCTCAGCCCAGCGGACCGACCGCTCGAGCGTGATTTTCAATCCTATAATGGTGCCCCTGTGTCTCGCCAAGGTCAGGAACACTTTCTGTTTTCTCCTTTGTGAGTTTTAGAGAACCTTAGGTGTAGCTGTGAACGGTAGGAGTAGGGAAAAGTTGTCTGTCTGTCGGTCGCTGCGCTCACGCTTCCTGTCTCACCTTGCGGTGAAAGTGATCATTACCAGAAGCGTGTCCAACCGGAGTTTTCCTCACGAGTTTTCACGAAGAACGGTGTTTCCCTGAAGCATGATGAACATCAGAGTGTTTTCAGTTTGTTTGCTGTGAGAGCGGACTTCTAGACGAAGTCCGGGGAACACCTGGGCCATAGAACAGAGTTACCAGTGCAGAGAAGCCGTTAGGAGTCCTTAGGACTTACCTCGGAAGTGAGTGTGCTGAAGTCTCTGTCCGCGCCCCGTTTCACTTGGCTCAAGGCTCAAGACTTGCACTGCGTGACAAGCGCGTGGTGAACAGTTGGTTGCGACGAAAGGTGTAAAAGTGCTGTAGCTTTCACTGCTGTAGCCTTGCGTGACGTAGTCAGTCAGTCGGCTTGCACCTCCTTTTACTAAACCTAGAAGTGTGCCTCAAGGCGCGTTTGGGTTTTAACGGCTTGCTAAGGGACCTGAAGTTTTCGCAATTGTGGAGTGTTGTATGCAATGCCCGTAAGGGGGGGGGGTGCGTGACAAGTCAGGCACCCTGTACTAAACCCCCTCCTAGTGCTTTTGAACAAACAAAGCGGCAGTCCGGGCAATTGTGCTTCTGGGGCAGTGAATCATGAACCAATGTCCAGGCCTCCGGGCTAAAGATCGACGAAGAAGTCAAGCTTCAATAGCAGTTTGAGCCGATGGACCCAGCCGACTGCCCGCACATTTGACAATCTGTGACACAATCAGCAGAAGGTTTGTGTTCGAACAGCTTGAGATGGATCGCTTGCCATTTGACCTTGGCAATAGTTGAGTCGACCGGTTCGTCCGAACCGCCCGAATAGTTCGAGAAGTTCGCTAGATTGTTGACCTTACTGATAACGGAATCGGTGGGTTCTCCGAGCCACTAAGGGACTCCAAGCCTCGATCTTTCGGCGAGGCGGCCAAAATGTCTCGGATTACTTCAGAAAGTGCCAAGGACTCCATGCTTAAATTTATAAGGCTAGAGGGGGTACAGGCAAATGTATGTCTTGCCAGACGACCTCAGGGAAGCGTGCATTGTCTGTCTGACCATGTGGCTTCGAGAAACGTGTTCCTTTGGGCTACGACGAGACCATCCCTCGGGTGCCGCAGGTCTTCGATCGGAAGGTCAAATGGCGAAAACTCGACGAGAGCACATTTGAAGCGGTCAAGGAGAATTACCAGAGCGCGAAGCTCACCGTGCAGGAGTTGGAGCTGAAGTTTAGGGAGGAAGAGATGTTGGGTCGGATGTACCCGACCACGTACTCCACTTTGGCGGCCGAGCATGGAGCCGACAGGGTCCGCGTAGCAGCGATGGGAGCGGTAGCCAAGCCGGACGGCAGCGTCCGTCCCCTACATGATGGCACCCACGGGGTGAAGGTCAACAATGGCATTCGGTTGCTGAACCAGACGGCCACGCCAGGCCCTGCTGAAGTGGCCCATGCAGTGAGCTCTGCCAAACGGTCGCGCGAGGCTGCCTTTGGAATCTCGGCTGACGTCAGTGCGGCTCACCGACTTGTCAAACACAGGCGTCGGGACCACCCCTTGATGGCATGCAAAGCGGATTCTACAAGTACCGTCGTTTGGGTTAACGTTGTAGGAACATTCGGGCTGAGTGTCGCTTCATTTTGGTGGAGCAGATTGTTCGGACTCGTGGGAAGGACAGTCGCCAGAGCAATGCTTCAAGAATGGATCTACCAACTTTGCTTCGTGGACGACATCCACGGCGTGTTCACTGGAGCACAGAAGTTTCGAAACTTGGTGATGTGGTTTGTCTTGTATCTTGCCTTAGGGACCCCTTTCTCCTTTAAGAAGTTTCGGGGAGGTTTTAAGGTTCCCTTCGTGGGCTTTGAGCTCGACTACCGTACATGGCGAGTTGGAATGTCTGATTCTAGGGGAGCTTGGATCGTCTCGTGGATCAAAGATGCTAATACCAAACGCTTCGTGGTCCAGGTCCGACTCTTTAGGGAGTTCCTTGGCCGGTTAGGGTTTGTTTCTAGGATAGTGGTTTGGATCAAGCCCCACCTCGCTCCCTTGTATGCGTGGGCATCGGCGGTGTCCCGGTTGCCAAGCTGCCAGAGACCGTCATCTTGACACTTCTTTACTTGGAAAGAACGCTTGACGAGTTCACCTTTAAGGTGAATCCCTGCAGCAAACCTAAACACCAGGTCGCAGGTTTCAGGACAGACGCTAAGTGCGCCGACGGATTCGTCGTGTTGGCCGGCTGGGCTGGGAGCTAAGTGACGACACTAAGACTTCTAGGTGGTTCTCGTTGCGCTTGACACCAGTCGAAGCACCGTACTTGTTTGACCAGCAGGGCAAATCGCAATGGGCATCAGGCTCAGCAGAACTGCTGGCAACATTGGCGGCCCTTCACATTTTCGGATACTTGACGGCCTCTGTTGACAGAAAGGAATTAGACGTAGAGTGCGCTGCAGATACAGACAATCAGGGCAACTCGAGATTGCTAAAAAAGGGGTCATCGACAAAATGGCCTCTCATGTTGATCAACATGCAGTTGTCTGATTTGCTTCTTCGCTCCTCCTTGAAACTCCTCCTGCGGTGGAGGCCCCGTGATGAAAATCAGTACGCAGACCAGCTGACCAACGAGATTTTCACCAACTTCTCCGACAAACATCGCATTGCAGTTGCATACTCGGATTTGCCTCTTTCACTCCTACATCAGTTGTGGGAGACCAAGGAAGGTTTCGACTCAGCACGAAGGGCTCAGGCCATGCTGCATCAGGGTGCCTCGGGGCATCAGCCTCAAAAGAGGAAGGCAGAGAAAACACCTTGGTAGTGCGTCCCTGAAGGGGAAAGGGGGCTGGATGCATCAACATGCATCCGCCCTACCAAGGGCACCGCGAGACTACCAACCACTGCGAATAAAACAAGTGTCGTCCGAGTGCTCTTGATTGCCCGACATTTTTCCTTTCACTTGTCCTTACTATTCATTCCAGTTGGATTCATTTGGAAGATACGATATTTGATTCGCTTTTATAGAATGACTTTTGTTTTAGTATTCGAGGATTCTTTGAAAGAGCGGAGAGCCCCAACCTCTAACCACGAAGCTATGCGAAGGACAGGCTAAACCGGGTTTCACCCTGTAGATCTGTCCGGAGCTAGCCGACGGGCGGGGGGGGGTTATTGTCTGAGGACTTGGATCCTAGGCGGATCCCGTGCTCTTGCTTGAAAGAAAATAATATCCACGGTCAGGTTTTGTTTTCTCCTTTGGCATGAATTTCCTTTGAGTGAATTTTGATCCAGCATATTTCGGGTCAGTCCTGCAGTCTCACGAAGTTGAAGTCTTGAACAGGTAGCCACGTCAGGCTCAGGCCGTGGCTCGTTTTCATGTTTCTTTAGCCCGCCCAACCCACCCTGGAATGTCAGAGCATTTCCGAGAATAGTCCGTTCCATGCCGCGGGGGTGCTGGATGCATCAACATGCATCCGCCCTACCAAGGGCACCGCGAGACTACCAACCACTGCGAATAACACAAGTGTCGTCCGAGTGCTCTTGATTGCCCGACATTTTTCCTTTCACTTGTCCTTACTATTCATTCCAGTTTGACAACTTCTTAGTTTTCCCTGAAACCCCACTTTTAGAGCTTGAGTTTGACTTGTGAAAGACCGCTTGTGCAAGGCTCAACAAGTGTGCGCAAAAGTTGTGCTGTGGTTTTATGGTAGCGGAGCTACCAAAGCTCCAGAGGACCGAACACCGATCCTGGTAGAGCCCTGTAGGAGTAGCCTCGAAAGCCCACCTTGTGTGGAATAGTCCTCGCGTGCGTGTGCGGCGCTGCTTGGCTTGCGAACGAGCTCTTCTACAACCGCCGCTGTGGACGAGGCGGCCAGTTCTTGAACTTCGGGGTGAACCGCTGCTTGGTAGTGTGAAACAAGTAGAAAAGGGTGCGTTGAGCCTTGAGCCGGTGCAGCGGAGATGGAGCCTGCTTCGGCAGCCCCTCCTGCTGGAGATGTGTCTCCAGGAGCCTCTCCGAGTGCCTCGGGCGCTCTGACTGGAGAGTTGGTTCTGGACAGGCTGGCGCAAGCGGTCAGTCAGTTGGCTATGTCATCGTCGGCGTCTTCGGCTGGCGGTGGCTGGAAAGAAAGCAAGTTTGTGAGACAGCCTGATGTTTTCGAGCCAAAAGACATGGAACAAGAAATGCAGATGTGGAACGATTGGTCTTTCCGCTTCAAGTCCTTTATGATGATTCAGGACCCCATGTTCAAGGAGGACTTGGACCAGTGTGAAACAGCTACGGCCTTTACTGCTTTCAACAGCTACACCGAAGGCCAAAAGCAGAGAGCAGTTCGTCTCTACGCCATGCTGGCTTCCTACTTGAGGGGGAGACCACTCAAGATGCTGCGTTCGGTCACTGACGCGGATGACTTCAAAGTGTGGCGCCAGCTCCATGATGAACTGGCACCAAAGAGCAGACCTAGGACTTTGGCGCTTGCTCAAGCGCTCACTCGGTTTCCACCGTACAAGGAGGGCACCAGCATCCTCGAGTATGTGCTCACGTTCGAGCGGCTGGTTCGAGAGTACGAATCTCTTTCTTCCCAAGTCTACGCAGAAGATCTGAAAATAGGAACACTTCTCTCCGGCCTTCCTACAGAAATGCGCAGATACCTTCAGATGCAGATCGTCGACTCTACCAAGTACGAGCAACTTAGGGAGAGGGTCCTGCAGTACGAGCGTTCTTCTTCGACTTGGAATGCAGATCATGTTTTGAAGTCGTTGGGTTTAGGTCGTGTTCCTGGAGCAGAAGGTGATCCTATGGATGTTGACAGAGTAGAGAAGGGCAAGTCTTGGAACAAAGGGAAGAAAGGAAATCCAAAAGGACCCAAAGGCCCCAAAGGACATCAGAAAGGAAAGGATCAAGGAAAAGCATACAGATCATGGAACAACGTCAAGGGCAAGGACAAGCACGGCAATTACAAGGGCAAGGGCAAAGACAAACATGGAGGTGGCAAAGGAAAGAAAGGTGTACAGCAAGTTTGCTTTGTGTGCGGCAAGCCTGGACATTTTGCTGCTGAGTGTCGGCAGCGTGTGAATGCAGTGCAAGATGATGCTGCGTCACAGGCTTCTGTTTCGACTGCGCCAACTTCGGCGACCTCCATGGCCAAGAGCAAGGCGAAGGTTCAGCGTGTTGATCTGTGTGCCTTTGAAGAGAGTGACGGTGATACTGAGGATGTTCATGTCACATTCTACGATGGTTCTGTGCGCGTTGTTCGTGAGATTGATGCAGAGCCTCTTCTTGATCCCAGTGCAAGTGCAGATGAGTTACCGAGCAGTAGTACCATGTGGTATCGCATGACATCAGATTCTTCGGACAGCCAGAGCTTGAAGTCTTTGTGCAGCGGTGAACGCGCCATTGATGTTTCAAGCCAAATGAGTTCGGAGGAAGTTGCTGCGAGGGCTGTGAGAGACACGGGCCTTCATGAAGTTATTCTGGACTCCGGCGCTGATTGCGCAGTGCTGCCTCAAGGTCAGTTCGGATCTGTAGGCGAGGATGGTCACCGCAGAGCGACCCTTGTCGATGCACAGGGGAACACCATTCCCCAATCTTCTTCTCGGCAGCGCGTTCTGTTTGAAGTAGAAGGTGAGGATGGAGAAATGATCCAGTTTACTGATTTTGCCATTCTTGCCAATGTCAAGCAGCCTCTGTTTTGCTTTGGGAAGCTCTTAAAGAATGACTGGCAGCCTGTGAAAGAGGACGGTTCTTGGTACTTGCGCCGTGATGATTCTCGCTTCGGGGTTCATTGGAGCAAGAACTCTCTGGCAACCTTCATGAGAATAAGCAGGGTTTCTGATGAGCCTTGTTCCGAGCCTAGAGAAGATCCCCCCGAAGCAGCTGAAGGCGCAACCCAAAACACATGTGATCAAGATCCGCTTCGCCTTTGTGTGGTGCTGGCCCTCAGCGACCACATCGATGTGCTCACGCATGAGGCTGGATGGGGGCTCTCGATAGAAGGGTTCCCGGCGCATCTTGGAATGGGGATGCGTGGAACGCTTGATGGTAGCATCTCCGGCTTCACTCCTGATGATTGGCCTTTGAGAATAACGCTGCTCTGGACTCTGGAGAGGAGGTTCTCGCTATGAAGTGTTTGAGGATTGTGAGCCTTGGGGTCCCCTAATTCCTGGAGGGCCTTGCATGTACTCTGAGTTCGACAAAAAGGAGAAGAAGGTGCTCACGATCTTTGTCAAGGAGGCCATTGAGCTAGAGTCGTTGGGCAGCGTTGTTGAAGGTGAAGTACGTCCTCGGGTAGTTCCTGAACCCAAGCCCCTAGAGTCTTCTTCAGCAGAACAACCTCAAGTTCCAGCAGAACAGCCTGATGCAGTTGGTGAAGGTGATGTCCTTGTTGCTGATGCCCAATCCGGGGGAGATCATCCGGGCCAAGGCGATGGAGTTCCACCCTTGATCGGCCCGGCTCCCGTGGAAGTGCAGGGTGATGAAGATGAAGCTGTTCAGGTCAACAACAAGGTGCTCACCGAGAACAGTTCGCTTAGGAAACTCCGTGAAGGATGCAAGTTTCTCAGCATTTCGAAGAATGGTTCCGGAGATCGCTGAGAGCAAGCTTCGGGCTAGCGTGCAGGCGTCGGAGGAAGTCTTGAAACAGCTGGAACGAAAACCTTTGGCCGAAGCCCTGGCTTCCCCTCCAGCGCCTGAGCTCGTGGCCCTCCATGAGATTTCCCACATGCCGCGGGCACCATGGTGCGAAGCTTGCGTTGCAACTCGCTCCCGAGAGGACAACTTTGAAGACGTTGGGAACACGCGAAGAGAAAATCCCATCATCTCCTTGGACTACATGTTCACTGGGACAAAGGACAATGGATTGGCAACCCACTTGGTCTGTGTTGATAGCCAGTCGAAGTTTGTCAAGGTTGTTGCTTTGAGCGCTAAAGGGGGTAGCTTGCTGAAGTATGCCACCAAGGAAGTGATTATCTTGTTGCAACAGCTTGGCTATTCTCAGGTGAGTTTGCGCTTCGACACAGAGCCCGCCATGAAGCAGTTAGCGGACTCCATTCAGACCTCTCGTCTGAAGATGGGCCTGGGTACCACTTTGGAACCTGTAGGTCCCGATCCTTTGGCACATCGAGCCCTACATGCTGAGAGATACATTGACACCGTGCGCCGTTTGGGAAACTGCTTGCTGGAGACAGTGAGGCAGAGAACGGGGCACAAAGTTGAGAGCAGCGATCCTCTTTTCGCTTGGGCTTATGTTCATGCTGGCTTCTTGATTTCTCGTTTCACGGTGCACAAGGATGGCTGCACGAGCTATGAGCTGGTGCATGGCAAACCTTACAGCCAGAAGCTGTGTCCTTTCGGAAGTGTTGTGTATGCCCAGGTTTTGCCCAAGACCAAGAACAAAGGTGAGCCGTGGAAGTCGTATGTGTGGCTTGGTCGCTCTGAGCTCGGCCAGCTTCACATCCTTGGGAGTCCTGTGGGAATCCAGTTTGCCAGGACAGCTCGTCGTGCACCGAAGGGATATGATGTGGAAATGCTGAAAACAATGCGTGGCGTTCCTTGGGACTTCTCTCTGGAAGTCTTGGCTACAAAGCAGAAGAAGACTGACTACAACAGGGTGCCGGTGGTCTTGGAGACTTTGCCTTCGAATGCCAACAACGACGAGGCAGCTTCTGATCCTCCTTCTTCAGTTTCTGGGCAAGGTGATGCAAGTCCCGTGGCCAGCGGAGACCAGATGAGTGTGACTCTCCCTGGTGGCAGTTCGTCGAGCTCCTCTGGATCGTCAATGTCAGAGGAACTTCTTCCTGCTAACGTTGCAATTGTTAGCACTCTGTCTGCTTTCAGTGTTGAAGGACTTGAAGATCTTCCCACTGGTCATGAACCAGAGCCTGAAGTTTTTGGAGAAGAGGACGATTTGGATGCCTTTACCGACGAGGGCATCAATTGGGAGATTGAGGAGATCTTGGACGATGCGAAGAGACGGGCTTATGAGGATGGCCCACCTTGCTTAGATCCTGAGAAGCTTGAACTCTTGGATGCTGAAATGGACAAAGTTGAGGAGGAGCGGCTTCTCAACATGGGTGTTCTCAAGGAGCTCACGGACGAGGCCAAGAAGGCGGAGATGTACAAGTTGAGTTGCAAGTTCGTGAGAGATTGGCGCTTTCGTGACGAATGGAAGCGAAGGAGCCGGCTTGTGGCGAGGGAGTACAAGTTTCTCCAGCCCGAGATGGCTGATCTTTATTCTCCTGCGTCTTTGGCTTCTTTGCAAAAGCTCTTTGCAGCGCTGGCGTGCAGCAACCCGAACCTTGTGGTCTTGAGTGGCGACGTGAAGGACGCATACCTTTGTGTAGAGCAACGGCGACCAACCTATATCGAGACCTCAAGGGGGATATGCTACGAGCTCAAGTTCAACTTGCCGGGACAGCGAGCGGGTGCAACAGATTGGTTCGACAAGTTCAGATCCATTTTGGAGCGTGACAACATTCGCAGCTTTGTCGGTGCCCCTGCCTTGTTCATCGAGCCGAGGTCCATTGCTGTGCTCACACATGTGGATGATATTGAAACAGTGTGCGAGCTAGAGAGAGCTGAGAGACTCAAGGCCCACTGCGAGAAAGAGGGTTTGAACATTTCATGGGAAGGGCCTTTGAGTGTGGACTTTGGTTGCTGCAAGTTTCTCAAAAGGAAGATGTATTCTGTTGAAGGGGGCATCTTCATTGAGCAGGACAAGAAGCACATTCAAAAGCTGACCGAGTTGACTGACACCGCCCGCGCAACTGTGAAACACACTCCCTGTCCTTCTCATCCCCACCAGTGTTCTGATGAAGCTCTTTTAGGAGGCGAGCACTACAACAAGTTCCGGACCGCGATCGGCATCCTGCTCTATATGGGGCCGGACAGGCCTGATATTCTTTACTCCGTGAAGGTTCTCTCCAGTAGGACCACCACACCCCGGCAACATGAGTGGAAGCTTCTGTGCCACTTGGTGCGTTACCTGAAAGGGCAAGATGATCAAGGACTTTTGTTCACACCCTCGTGGCCGGGTCGGACCTTAGAGCAGAGGTGTCTTGAGCTGGAAAGAGATGAGGAAGTCAAGATCAAGGGCAACAATCCTTTCAGTGGGAAACACCTACTTGAGAGTGTTTCTGATGCTTCCTGGTGTTCTGAGCCTGGTCGTTTGAGTGTGTCGTGCTCCATTCTGTATGTCAATGGCAACCCTATCTTCATGACAAGCAAGAGGCAGAAAACAGTAGTTTTGTCGTCGTGCGAAGCAGAACTACATGGTGCCCTGCTTAGCCTCCAGGAGGCACTGCTGATCAAGAGGGTCATCAATTGCCTCACTGGTGGAGAGTGCGAGTGCATCCACAGAGTGGACAACAGTGCCTGCAGAGCTTTGTTGAACCGAGAAGGCCTTGGGGGCCTCAAGCATGTTGACTTGCACTACTTGTGGGTACAGCAGAAAAGAAAGGATGGCGAGTTTTCGGTGAAGGCCATAGGAACCCAGTTCTGTCCAGCTGATATCGGCGCCAAGGCCCACGCAGCACCTCGCATGAAACTTCTGAGCTACATGTGCGGTGTGTCATGTTCCCATGGTCCTGTTGGAAAGGAGGTGTTCGTTGCAGCTTGGAATGCGCAGGCGACTAAGAAGATGGCAGCGAAAGCATCCAGGGTGAACGTGAAGCAAAACCTACGTCAAGTTTTGGCTTTCAGTCTTCTTGAACTTGGCTGGGGAGCTCCCTGTGACGAAGTGCCGTCTGCCATGGACAACCAGAACAACTTCGTGCTCAACGTGATCTTCCTGGGTTTGGTCTTCTTTGTCTTCAGCGAAGTGGTCAAGGTGATCTTCTTCCTCTTCAAGAAAGGGGGCAACATTATCTTCAAAGGAAGCTCCTTCAGCTTTGCCGTGGTCTACCTCAACCTCTTTGGCTTCGCCCTCGGCAAGGACAGTGTGGAAACATCTATGTCACCTACATCGAGTACCTCCTGGACATCTTCGACTACATGGACCAATGGTGAGCTGATCTCCTTCCTGGTGCTGTTCTTCCTCTCCATCACGCTGGTGGTGATGTCGTCTCGCAGGTGGCGGCAGGTGGAGAATGACGTGGAGAGCGGCAATGGCGAGGAGGAGAACCTTATCTCTGAGAACGAGGTGAGGGATCGAATGCACACGTGGCTGGAAAATATCTCAGGGTTTTACAGTTTAACTTGGTAGCGGAGCAAGGAAGCCTGAAGATCCAGGAAACCTGTGGGCCGAAGGAAACCGGATTGGAACCGGAAGAAGTACACGAGGATACCTGGAAACTGGACAGTAAATCTTGGAATTCGCCATGAAGGTGATCATGGAGAAGATGTACCAGGACCTCTTGCTATTTGTGGTTGGATTCTGTATGAGTATCACGCTGAGCCAAGGAAGCATTCAGGAAACAAGTTGCTTGTGGATGAACATGTCTCACCTTGTTATTCGACCTCAGCCGTTTACCCTCGAAGAGGAAATTTCGGATTGTGTATGGGATCAATTGTATCCCCGAGTATGGGAGAACGATCGGAAGAAGGATCTCTTGTCCCAGCGGCAGGAACTATGGAACTCAAAGACAGTGAGATCTTCCAGGATGAACCTCACCAGAAAGTATCTCGGGTCACGGAACACGAACCGTTGCCTAGAGTGGCAAGGCCTGTACATGAAGATGTCATGGTGGACCGGAATGCGGAGTTGGAAGAAATGCGGCAAAGTGCAGAAGAGAGGCGAGCTACCTTGGTGGAGCAAGCTAACCTCCTGCAAACGCCAGGAAGGAAAGCTGAAGGTACTCCAGCAAAGACTCCAGGTACAACTGGAGGAAAGTCGCGAGAAGAAAAGAAGAAAGAGAAGAAGACTGCCAGGAAAGAATCCAAGCAAAGCCGTAAGGCCGAGAAGGCTAGGAAGAAACAGGAAGAAGAAGCCACCAGTCCTCAAGGTGTTCGACGTAAGTTGGATGAAGCTATGGAAGTGGCAGGATCGATTGAGAACGTCATGTTGCTTGAGAAAGAGTATAAGAGATTCAGACTTGACGGAAAGTATCAACCCCCCTTCCTCAGTATCTACAGCCGGATGTTGCAGAACAATCAGAAATTCAAGCCCAGATCTTTCTATGATCCCCCAGGAAAGGATCAAGAGACAGAACAACTCGAAGCTCTTAAGGAAGAAGAAGAGAAGAAGTCCGAGGCAGAGTCCCGGAAGAGAAAGTTGGCCGATCTGGAGGAGCAAAAGCGGATCTTGGAAGCTGAGACAAAGGAAAAGCAGCAAGCACTGGAGGAAGAAACCAAACGTCTTCGTGCAGTGGAAGAATCGGAGCGTATGGCCAAAGCACTTCAGGAAGCTAACAAGCAGCCAGCCAAGATCAAGGTACCTGAAGCAGCACTGGATTCGGCGGAAGAATGGTACCGCAACAAAGCCCTTGAAGTCGTGGACAAGCTACGAGCTCGGAAGGACGAGCAGGTGGAAAACGCTCGTAAGGCCGAGGAAAATTGGCTCCAAGCTTGCAGGAATGTGGAGAAGGCTCAAAGTGGATTCATTGTGGCATCGGAAAGACTGCAAAGTGCCATGGGACAAGCCCTCAACATCGCAGTACGCCACGGAGAAGAAAAGGGTCTACTTCAGATCTTGCAATCCATCCACGATGGAACCACGCAAGCACCAGAACCAGCTGAACCCGCTGTTAAAGCGATGCCAAAGAAAATGCCCAAGTTGGGAACGGACGCTCAGGCTGGAAAGGAAAAAGAGAAGAAGCTTCCAGAGCAGAGAAGGTCTGGAAAAGGGAAGAAGCAACCGCCTGAGGAAACCCCAGGATGGGAGTGGACAGAAAGAATTTATGAAGAAGACATCGACGAGAATCGCCCTCTACGAAGCGGAGAAGAGTATTTACCTGGGTCCGAACCTTTCAGTCCAACTTGGACAAAGGAGTTGGTACAAATCCTTTCTGGATTGGCTATGCGCGGGATTGGAGAGAAAGACGGAGAGTATCAGCCCCTATGGGAGTTCCCTTGGCAGATCACTTCGTATGAAGACTATGAGGCAATCCAAGCCCAGCTGGAACCGTACAGTGTACGACTCATTCCGTCTCGCCGCGAGTGTAAAGGTGCTGGACGCTTCGCGGAAGTATGGAGTATGCATCCTGCAGGAAAGGGTCGTTTGGACATCGAGCCAACGGAGACTACCCGGCGCCGTACTGTGTACGGAAGCTTACCTCCAGGAAAAAGCTTGTGCTCGCTATGCTGGCATGGTGGACATTGGAAGAAGGAGTGCAAGTACCGCCAGCTATGCTTTTGCCTGTACGAGCCAATGCTCACGATACTGGATCGCGGAAACAAGACGAGGCGACTGTATCCGATTCGAGGAATCACTCGTCCCGGATTCCAAGGAGATACTACGAATCCGTACAAAAGGTTTCTCCCGATGCTCGCACTTTGCGACTTTGGGAGTATGTCCAGGGAAGTCTCGGAGAGTAACAAGCGATACTGGAAGCAGGCAAAGGATGAAGGAGATTTTCCAGTTCTGTATCGAGAAGAGCAGGCCAGCCGGAAGAAGGAAGCAAGCCAGGCAGCTACAGCAAAGAAGAAGGCCAAGCCAGAGAAGCCCAGCATCTGGACAGCCAAAGAGGATGAAAAGAATGTGGTGGTTTTGGACGAGCCTAGCCCGGAAGCACCAACCCGAGAGGAGCTTCGGCAGAAGTACGAAGAGCACCACAAGGCCAAGCTACGCAAAACGTTGGAGTCGCGTGAAGCAAAGAAAATCTTGGATGCCCCGGAAGCGGATGCAGGAAAAGATCAAGAAGTTCCAAAGGAAGCCGTTCCGGAAGAATCTGCAGTACCAGAAGCACCCGCAGTGCCGGAAAAGACGCCTGTCAGGGACACCATGGACGAAGCAGGCAGTGACAGTAAGATGTCGGATGAGGCCAGCGAAAGTGAATCCCCTGTGGAGAATTCGGAGTCGTCGGAAATCGACGAACCAAAACGCCGTAAGACCGCTAAAGAAAAGCAGCAGGAAGAAGCTGGAAGAAGTGAACCAGCAGAGCAGATCGACAAGAATGATCTGTGAGGCGCTTGAGCAACTCGCTGCCCAGTGTACGAAGTTGCGTGCAGCAAACGCTGTGCCTGTACTGATAGCACTTCTGCTCATCTGGAGTTGCGGAAGAATGCAAAAAGGAGTGACACGCAGCAGGGATGTCGTCACCCATCTACCTTGTATGCGAAGGAAAGTTAACCGGATGCATAGTATTCGTTGGAGACGTAAAGTGAGTGGATGCAAGCGGAAATTCAGAGCAATGGTACTTGGTTGTTTGCTTGTCAGGACGGAAGCTATGCAAGGACCTCAAGCCGCACAACCATCATCAGCCGCCGGAGTGCCAGTACAAGATGGAGCAGATGGAGATGGATTAGGCATGGTACCTACTCAAGAGATACTTGGACAATTGGTCCAGAACTCCAGAGTGACTACAGAAGCTATTCACCAGCTAGTTACCTATTCTGGAAACCAAGGAAATGCAGGAAGTTCGTATGAAGGAATACTCTCTAAGGCATTGGAAGGTGCAGTGAAGATGTTGGGAAGACCACCATCATTTGGTGGAGGTAAAACCGATGCACAAGATTTCATGGACTTCAAAGAACAGCTTTATAATATTCTTGCGTATGCGGAACCCAAGTATTCGGATGCCTTTAAGAACTTGGAGAAGTTGGGAGACCATGAAGTACTACCAGCTACTTTCTCGGATGAAACGTATCAGACTATGTCAACGAAGCTGTACTCGCTATTGAATTCTTGGTTGTCAGGAACCACGAAGCAGCATGCACGAGATCCCAGTATTGCTGGATCCCGGAATGGATTTGCTTTGTGGAAATCATTGCTGAGGATGTATCAGCCGAGTACGAGAAGTCGGAGTCTAGCTTTGATGCAAGCGATTCATGGATACCCAAACTTTTCACCCGGACTAAGTGCTGTGGCACAGATTTCGAAGCTGGAAGAACTAGTCAAAGACTATGAGAGATGTAGTGGAGTGAGCTACCCTCGAGAGATTCTCCTGTCGACTCTCTTGAGATGTATCCCTAGTCCTCTGAAGGAACACATCCATCTTCAGCTTACGGATAAAACAACATACAGCCAAGTCAAAGAAAGCGTACTAGTCTACGAGCGGACTACGAGAAGTTGGATGCCGAACCAAGTATATCAACCCCTTGAATCAGGACATGGTCAACAGTACCTAGGAGCAGTAGAGAATGCCCCTACTGGTGGAGGACATCAAGCAATGGAAGTGAACAGAGTAGAGTACAAAGGAAAAGGATGGAAAGGAAAAGGCGGAAAAGGAAAAGGCAAGAAAGGCTATGGCAAGATGTTTGGAGGATTCGGAGCCATGCAGGCAGGTAGAGGATTCAGCAGGTTTGGTCGAGGTAGAGGAAAAGGCAAAGGCCGAGGTAAAGGTAGAGGAAAAGGTAAAGGTAAGAAAGGTGGAAAAGGCCGGAAAGGCAAAGGAAAGAGTAAAGGAAAAGGAAAGAAAGGAAAAGGAAAACGACTTGGAAGGACAGTTTGTAGACTTTGTCATCAGGAAGGACACTGGGGAAATGAATGCCCCAACAGACATTCTGTTCGTAACGTGGAAGCCGAAGAACAGTCCCAAGCGGAAGCGTATCCCAACAATCCACCGAACCAAGAACCTTACCCGAAGCCTAATGTGGTCGAAACTGGTAGTATTCGCCAGACGACGAGCCGACCGGATCCAAGGATCGTCACCCGGAGAGTAGGAGCGTCAAGTGGATCAAGTGGATTCAACCCAAAACCATTTTACCACATAGCTACACCGCCAGAAGAATATCCGGAGACCTTTCCAATCAACTCAGAAGATGAGTCCGACATTGACATCACGTATGTCAACACCATCCGTATGGTTCGAGATGTTGCAGATGGAACTGCAGAAGGTGAAGAAGTCACCAACCCATTTTTCGGTGAACTACCCAGTCCAGGTTTTACAGACTCAGATGAGGAACTTGGATCTGGAGAACCTACTGGAATTTGCCAAGGTTGTGGTACACGCCTGGAACCGGTGTGCAAGCCAGTTGCGCCACCGACAGAGTCTGGAATCCCACGAGTACCAGAACATTATCCAGGAGAAGAACACTATCTGA